ACTTCTACCGCAAGAATGGATAATTTACCCGACTGATTTTGTGAAACAGAATGGATTTCCTTTAAACAGATATTTCCCGCCGATTGTGTCTCATGCAGGAGAATGTCATGTCTGCGTTGTTTTGTTTCTACTGAAGTTTTATCAAAGAAAGCTTAAGCGAAAATAGGGAGATCGCAATTTATACTCTTACGAACTATAAATTAGGGCTGACCTGGAAGACGCGTTGAATTGTGCCGCCATCCTTCAAAATATAACCTGGCTGCGTTTAGGAAGACAATTTCCTCTTCCATCCAGATGTACTTGGTATATGTGTTTGCGCGAATCTTCAGACAAAGAATTGGGTATACACTGATTCGAATGGCTTGGCGATACTAAGTGCTTAAGTCTACTTACCGATTACAACATGTTTTGGAAGTATTGAGAAGCGCGCCAAATGAAGTTGTCACAGCGTTCTCGAGCAAACACGGCGCGACCTGGATTGATAAAAATTACCATTACATGCAGGTATCATGCCAGTGATATCTCCTTTCGTCGCGTAGTGAATAGTTTGTGAGCACATCCTCGACTCTCAAAACATTTGTCTTGCGCCGCTATAGAAGTTGCTTCTCCCGCGAACCATAGGTAGATTTCCCGCTTAACATAATGTTTGATAATTTATGCAAAAGTTGACCTCGTGGAAGTCGGCAGTGCATTAATCGACTCAAAAATAAACAGACTTCCTACAGGGTTTTGAACACGGTTTTAATTAAAGTACTTTACGAACGCTGCGGTAGTTGACCGCAAAAGTGTTACGGTGATGGATACTCAACGGGATGATTACGTCACTTCATAGCAACCAGACGGTACGAATTTTTTAACTTCCGGAGCGCTGAGGCTCGTAGTGATAGTTTTATAGGGAATATATTTATATGTATACATATTAAATTACACATTTTATTTGACAATGCGTGGCAATAGTTGCCACATCACTACATGTTGCGACTTGATAATAATAATTTATTATATTGATTACAGTGTAACATGTGCCACTTATAATTGTTGTTTTTAACTTTAAAAGACACTTCGTTTTACTTAATAATGGAATTCAGATTTTTAGATGTTCATGGATTCAAACTTTTGAGCCGTTCTAAACTGGCAGGCAAAATTGCAGTGTTTGATTGCCAAAGGGAAGCCAGTTTTGGTTGAAAAAAAAATAAGGAGTCAAGAGGATTAAGGATTTGAGAAATCAGGATTAACAGGTGAAGGGTCTTATCAACAATGCCTAATTTTTTCTTGGGAATTTCATGGGAAAATTTACAATTTTTTAGAACAACTTAAAATATTGGAATGTTACTTTACTAGCAGTTTTGAATTAGAGGTACATATTTCTTGACGGGTTTAGAATTAGATAATAAAATGATAAAATTAAAGGTCTAGAAAACTGCAAAAAGCTGGAAATTTAAGTGTATTCCTGACCATAGGTATTAAAATTACAGTTTTCCCAGTTTTCTGGAAAAAGAAAAAAACTAGAAAAAGCTGTCAATTTCTGATAGGGACATGTTTTTCCAGCTATTTCCAGCTTTTGAAAGAATTTAAAGCTTGCAAAATCCAGAAAAATGTTTCTGGAAAAAAGCTGGAATTTAATTTTAGAAAAAAGCTGTAAATTTCCAGAAATTTCTAGAAATTCCCAGACGTTGAAGGAAAGCTAGAAATTCATTTTGCAAGGGATATTCAAATCCAACAGATCAATATACTCATTCGCCTCCGGGAGTTTCTGAAGGAGCATATTGTGAATGTTGCGTTTAAATTTCACTTTAGGCATTTAACGAATTTCATTAGATAGGTTATTCCAGACTCTAACACCGTTTCTTGAAAAAGACATGTTTAGCTTGTCTAATCTAGAGTATTCGAGAAAGAAGTTGCCTCTTGTTGATGATCTTGTGTTATGTGAATGAATATTATGTTGGTAATTAAATAAATTACTTATTTGAGATGGCGATGTGTTATTTGAGACGTCATACATTAAGACGGCAACTGACTTGAAGTAAAAAAGATCTAGAGGTAGTAGACTGGATGAAGTGAAAAAGGGTACTGCGTGAGCTTTATAATCACCAAAAAACATGAGGCGAAGGGCAGGTTTCTGAAGACATAGGATTTTATTTCTGTGGATTTTGTCTGCTCGGCCCCACGCTGTTATGCCATATAACAAATAGGGTTGAATCAGCGATCTGTATATATGTTGTAAAGTATTAAGTGGTACGAAATGTCTTAGCCTAGCAATAATGCCAATCGATGTGCTTATTTTAGAGGCTTTATGTAAAATATGTTTCCAAGAGAGGTTCTCATCAATAAGCACGCCTAGATATTTAACATAACTTTTACGTTCCAATGATGTGTAAGAGTTGGTATGATGGTTGAATATTTTTAAATTAACTTCGTATTGGACATTTTTTTTGTCTTGGTCGAAAAATAACGTAATTAGATTTTTTAATGCTTAGAGATAATTTGTTCACTATTAGCCAGTCGTAAAGCTTATACAGAGCTCATCGTTTACCATAGATTGCAGGGATTTTAGGTTTTTATCTGAATATAAAAGATTCGTATCGTCTGCGAATAGGTAAAACTTCATTCGGTTACAACTGTTACAAATATCATTTATATAAACAAGAAAGGGCAAAGGCCCTAGGACTGATCCTTGGGGAACCCCAGATAATACTGTCGCTTTCTTAGATATATTTGAGGGGCCAAATTCAGTTATTTGCTTGCGACTAGTAAGGTAGGAAGTAAACCAGTCATTCACAATCCCACGTATACCATAATGTTCAAGTTTCTTTAAAAGTATTGAGTGGTCGACTGTGTCAAAAGCTTTTTGTAAATCAATAAATATTCCACAGGTGTACAGCTTTCTATCCATATTAGTTTGATTCTGATTGGTGATTTCCAAGATAGCATGTTCAGTGGACCGCTTTTCACGAAATCCATACTGTGAATCATAGAGAATACTGAACTTTTCAAGAAATGATTTCAAGCGAATGTACATCATTTTTTCAAAGATTCGGTTGAAGACTGAAAGTAGTGATATGGGTCTGTAGTTGGATGGGTCAGATTGGTCATTGGCTTTGTGGATTGGGATTACTTTAGCAAGCTTTAATTTAGTGGGATATATTCCATGTTCAACCGACTTGTTGATTAGTACAGATAGGGGGTGGCTAAGAATATGTCTAGCTGATCGCAAGACGCGAGTGGGGAAAGAATACAATCCATGAGCCTTGTTTAATGGTGTGTTCATAATTTCGGACTCAATTTCAGTTTGTGTTACTGTATTGAAAAAGAAAGAATCAGCATTACGTGATTTTGGAAGATAATCAAAAAATTCCTTCTGCTGGTTTGGCATTTTGGAAGCTAGATTATGACCAATTGAAGAAAAATACTCATTCATAATGTCAGGAAGGTCAGAGGAATCGTGTGAAATTTGATCGGATCCCAGGCATTTAAGCGAGGTGATATGTTTGATAGCTTAACGTTTGCGACCCAAAAGATTCTTTATACCTTGCCAAGTCTTTTTACTGTTACTTAGGTTATCTTCGAAATAGTTGTGGAAAAAAGTCCTTTTACTTATTCGTGTGAGCATCAGTATTTTGTTATGATAAATTTTGTAGGTTTTACTGTCACCAGAATAATAGAGTGAATTCTTGATCTTAATTGATCTTCTGATGCCTTTTGTTATCCAGGGTTTTTGTTGTTTTCTTAGACTGCGTTTTGAAATTGGCTTTAATGGGGTGTGCTTATTGAGGAGCTTGTTCAGTTTATTGTGAAATGTAGAGAATGATTTGTTTACGTCTGTCTTGTTACAAATTGTACCCATTAAGTCAATTTCAGATAGCTCACCTAGGAACTTTGTTTCTGAGTAGTTTGAGAAGTCACGAGTTAACCGCTTAGATTTCGATTGATCACAGAGATCTCGATTAGTAGAAAAGTTTCGTATACAAAATTGAGAAAAGTGGTCTGTTAGCTCCGAGACTATGTTTCCACTACAGATACTATATTCTAGACTGTTAATAAAGACGTTATCAATTAATGAGTAAGAGTTGTTGTGAACTCTTGTTGGTTTGTCGATTGTCGGAGTCAGGTTCAGGCTTTGCAAAGATAGCGTAAAATTTTGGGCGTGAGTACTAGTATGAACATGGAGAAGATTTATATTAAAGTCACCCATAAGAATAATCTGTTTTCCAGTGGTGCTAAGCTTTTCCACTGTCGAATCAAAATATTCCTGAAAACGCTCAGGGGAATTATGCTGCCTATACAATACTCCACATATTATGTTTGCACATTTGGGAAGATGTAATTCGATAAAAAGTGCCTGGAAGGCTTCATTAGAACACCTCTCTATTGTTTGATATTGAAATCGCTCATCAATATACATGCCTACACCTCCAGCTGAAAGAGGCGTTGGCAGGTATTCAAAATTATAATGCAAAATCGAAGGATTAAAATGTAAGTTCTCAGTCGAGTTGTTTATTCTTGTTTCTGTTACGCCTATGATATTAAAATGAAAATCTAGTTCATCCAATAAATGAGTTTGAAAATTTTCTAAATTACGTTTTAGACTGCGGATATTTGTGTGCATAAACGAAATATTAGAATAGGGATTAGTAGCAAACTTACTTTTTTGATCACAAAAACTATGTGGAGAGAAGTATTTACATCTTGTATTAGAGTAATAAGTGTTGGAGTTGGAGCTTCTATCTAAGAATGTATTCAGAGTAAATAAATCAAGGTCGTAATAACTTGGGAGATGATCAAGATATTTTTTGGTAGGAAGAGAGGAACTAAGAGAATTATTAAATTGGCCATGTGCGGAAATTAGATCGCTGTAGTTGAAATATGGAAGCTCGCTTAGGAGTGTTTTATTTACCTTAATAGATTGTTTGTTAATGTTCTTATGGAGTAGGAACATCACCAGAAGATCCTAGGCGAGCTGTGAGACTGGACAAGTCGGTTGAATTTTTAATGGCGATCGGACGAGAGGTTTCATTTTTCCGCAGCCAGATGGTTGAGTTCTTGGCCCAACAAAATGAGAAGAGAAATCTTTCCTTTATTTTCTTGGCGTCAGATAATAAACTCTGCAGTCGTGGGGAGAGGTGATCGTAGATAGCAGCATGTTCTAAAGATGAGCTTTCTCGGAGACCAATATCAGCAGGAACGATCCTGTTTACTTCTCTACGGGCTGCCATAACACTTTCATGGGCGATGCGCCGAGTAAATTTACAAATAATCGGTTTCAGTCGACCATGAGACGTGTTACGAGATGGCACTCGATGGGCAATGTCAAGGTCATAAGGATGAATTTCAGCTCCAATTTTGTTGAAGATTCTCATGCAAAGTTCCAGCGTATCTCCGGCGCTTTCTCGTTGCTCAACTTCAGGAACGCCCACAAGCTTGATGTTGTATGAATACGAATATTCCAATGCTTGATCCAATAAAGATGATATTTTATCCGCTTGAGATGACAAGCGTTCCAAAGATTTTTCAATAAGAGACATCCTGTCGTTAACATATTTCTTAAAGTCTTCTTGGATGCTGTTCGGAGTTGCCGTAGTGTTTCCCTCATCGGTGCCTTCAGATGAACTGGCATGGGCGCCATTTCGTTCAGCTTTAACTTCGTCTCGTAGGTTGCGTAATTCAGCACAAATTTCTTGAATCTTATCTTTTAACTTGTCATTTTCCAGTTTCAATGATTGGACTGTGTCTTTTACCATTTTGGTCAAGGTTTCAGCAAATTTGAGTCTCAAAAAATAATCAAGAGTGAAGAGCTTCGAAATAAGCGTCTTGCCTGCTATGCACACCATGCGAACTCTGAAGACTCTGGAGGCTTCTCTTTTTATTTCTAAAACTCATTATTAACTGCACTCGGCAAACTCTACCAATCACAGAAGTTATCTCAATAACCATGGCAACAACCGCTTAACCTAGTAAACTGGGGATTCTCCAAATTGGACGAATTTGTAACATTAAACTGTCTTTGAGTGAGAAATTGGGGAAAGTTTCCCTTATTTTGGATGATTGGTATTAAAAGCTCTTCCACCAAAAAAGGATGCATTTATTTCCTCGGAAATTGCAATGGTTATGATTAATTGGTACCAGGACTTTTGTGTCGTCCATTTCAGTAATCACTCGTATCATTACAGACCAAGTTGGACTCTAATCAGTCCTAAAACGGTTATTAATAAGTGGTATTTAAAAGTCATTTCAAAATGTTGTAATTTTGCAACAAATTATTACTATTTTGCGAAGCTACGTGAGGGACAAAAGTAGTTGACACACTTGTTTAAAACGGGTGCTTTTTACAAACATTAAATTCATTTATTATTTCATTCTTTTTAAACGCCGTAAATCCCCTCATCCCCCGAATCAATGTTGTCTGAAGTAAACAAAAGTAAGTATACGTATAGTAGGAGGTTATTTTTATCAAACCAGTTACTTTTTTGTGGATAGATTATTCCCTTGATTCTATCAGCAACATTCACTATTTCGATAATCATCTTATTATGCGAGTAATTTTTCGTGTACTGCACGGTACTGAAATAAATCATGAAAAGAAACTAAATAACCTAGTAGGAAATACAAATATTCGTGCCTCACCTCACTTTGGTGGCCTAAGACTGCCATAACAAAAAACCCAATTTCTTAACAAGTTTCTTGTAAATTTATGTTTTGTTTGCTTTTTTGGGTGTATTGGTTTATTTTTATTTTAATGTTAGTTTGTTTTTTTTTTGTTTAATCAGAGAAATATTTTAACTTAAAATAAAAAGTAAATAAATTCAGAAATTATTTTCAATGAAAAGAAAATATCTCAAGAACAGAATAAAAACGAAATGATTTTAAAATGAATTTATTTCGAACGAAAACAAATTTTGTTTAAAAAAAAATTGAACTAATTTTAAAAAAATATATTTGAAAAGAAAGGCATTGTAAACTAAATTAAAAGCAAAATTGTCCATGGCCTATCGTTGCCATAGCAAAAAAAAAAAAAAGGCGTGTGGCCTATCGTTGCATCTGTTTTCAAGATGGCGACTGCACGGATTCGAAACGAAGAGTGGCAGCAGGACGACGATCTAAAAGATATGTTAGCTCGATATGTAAAAGAAAATCTTAGACGCAGAGAGATCTTAGACTTCGTGTGTAGGGATTTTGATCAATATGTGTGGAGTCTTCGGTCTCTAGACAGACGACTTGAGTATTTTAACATCCGGTACACTGACCGTAACGTTGAGCTTGGCGAGATCAAAACTGCCGTGAGACAAGAAATGGATGGCCCAGGTAAACTTCTTGGATATAGAGCTTTGCACAAAAAACTAAGGCAGGTTCACGAGCTAAATGTTCCACGAGACATTGTGTATGCAGTGATGTACAATGTGGACCCAGTTGCTCTCGAGGAAAGAGCTCCTCAATTCAAGAAGAAGAAGCCTAAAAGCAACTTCACATCACGTGGCTCAAACTGGGTGCACTCCCTCGATGGTCACGATAAACTGATGGGATACCAGAACAGTACTTTTCCAATTGCAGTAGATGGTTGTATGGATACGTGCAGCAGGAAAATATTGTGGATAAGAGTTTGGATAAGCAACAGCGACCCCAATATCATCGGCAGATTTTATCTTGAACATTTACTCAAATCATGGAAAATTGCAGCCAAACTGAGACTGGATAGAGGGTCATGCTTTTCTTCGACAACACCATGGTGACATGGACCCCTTAGAAACAGTTATCTATGGGCCATCAACTTCAAATCAGGTGAGGTTTGCAGACTTTTTTTTACTTTTTCTGTTTTTATTTTAATTTTTCTAAAAATGAGAAATAAGTCCCAAATATGAACTTAATACCCAGACCCACGGCTGGCATCAAGTTTTGAGTCAACTGTATACCTTTTACATGAATTGTAACAACTATAGTCCAGTTGACCCATAACATCATTGGCCATGAAACATACTCAGTTGTAGCAGGTGCTGCAGCCTGCAATGACAGCTCTACCAGCTCTACCTCCATGGAATGTTCAAGGCTAAATTGATCAATTATTTCATTTATAATAGGAACATGTATACTTTGATCACAGGAAATCTGAGAATGCCTTAACCCCAGACTTGATTTCGAGCCACTATGGGAGTGTGATTGTTGATCATTTTCCCAGGAATCATGTGGGCCAAGCAATGAATGCGGACTCTCAAAATGGCAGGAAATGAAGCCTACCTTAACCCTTCATACAAAAAACGATTCTAGTTTGCTGCTTATGCTAATTAGACATGATGTAAACCGTAAAACGTACCAGTATATTGTGTGATCATAATAATTATCATTACATGGACAGATCGAAAGGTTTTGGAGAGAACTGCATGAAAGGTTGGAAAGGTTTTTCAAGTTGCCCCTGAACCAACTAAAAGAACAAGGTCAATATGATCCCCATGATGAAAACCACAGGTACTGAGCTAGACATATAGACATTACTTTCATTAGACATTACTTTCTTTGTAAGGTGCATTTCATCATATTCATATGTTAATTTGCACCTAAGAAATATTAAATATCATTATTATGTCATAATTTAGTTTATTTGAGCAATTTTAAAGTTGCGCCCCTATATTAATGAGAAAAGCTGAATGGTGAATTTAGTTTTCCTGCAACCCAGTATAATAAGAGAGGACCACTCTTATCCCTTTTGTTTCAAACACCAGCATTAACTGAACCACAAGCCATATGCCAGCAAATTAATTGTAACAAGGAAATATATGCTTGCTATGGACAGGAGAGTCACGACCAAAGGAAAAATCCAATTTTCTATTTAAGTGCCCGTGTATGGCCACACAGAAATGCAGATTAAGAGCAGGAGTTTAAACACTCATCAATCTGCGTATATAGCACTGTGTAAGTATTAAACTGTCCAATTAAGAGAATTTTGCAAACAGAGCCTGACAGTACACATTACTTTTTCGCAGGCTTCTCTTGGCATATGTGATGATACCAATAGTTCAAACGGAAGTCAACACCTTTGTAGATGTGGTATGGAACAGTCATAGGATCCGTGAGCAAAAAAACACTTTCCTTCCTGATGGAGTGCCAAACCACATTTACAGTTTTCCAGAGAAATATGGACTGGAGGAATGTGGTAGGTATCAATGACTTTGTTCCCCGAGTTTCTCTTTTTAATTGGTAGTCCTGCTTGAGCACTACACAACTTGTAAGATGAAATAAAAAGAGCAAGAGTTGTACCCTTTAATTGAAACCCTGTTAGTGTGTATGCGAGAAATCAGATAGTGGACCTTGCAAAATAGATGTTGTTTTTAGGCTTTTCGACTCCCACAAAATATGGAAATTCAAATCCCGCTTTAAACACAAATTACCCGAATTCTGGTGATCATAACAAAGAAATCATAAAGTCATAGAATGAGAGAGCGTGATTTTCATTCAAATACTTTCTTCTTTTCCCCTGTTTGAGACATATTTCCTAAATAAGATGAATTTACTGCTTTTACGGAAAAGTTCTCACCTTCATTAAAAATGGAGTTATGTGTGCCTATTTTGAAGGCTGGGAAGTCACAGAGGAACAGCTAGCAGAAGTTGCAGAACTTTCAGATGTGCTTGCTGACAATGATGACTATTTGAGTGCTGAGTTCAGGAATAAATGTGAACAAGTAATTGCTGATCCATTTGGAGATTGATGTCAGTGATTTTGCCTATGCCTTTCGTTACCTCAAGGAAAATGTGGATGTAGATACACCTGTACGAGCACAGCTATGATTATATACCTTAACTATGAAATTTCTTTTTGGAATAGCCTTTCAATGTTATGAGTAGCAAAGAAACATTATTTTGAGCAACATTGTGAACCAAGAGCATACTGGAGCCACCAGTTCAAGCAGTTATATTAAGTCAGCTTGTTTTGCTTTTTAAGTTCTACAAACAGGAATGTTTAATTTAATTGCACATAGCATTTTGTATCCTAGAGCTCAGTATTGGTTAATGGAGTAGCAACTTAGTAATACGGGCCTGTAAGTTGACAGGCCCCAGAACTGAGGCAGATGTGGTTCACATTGTTCAAATATAAATGTTGTGATTTTCATATGTTAAGTACTACCTAGTTAGCAGGAGAACAATACGATTTAAATTTGAAATTCAAAACCCCTGACTGAGTTTTGTAACAAAAAAGATATAATATATTAAATGTATTTAAATCAGTGCCAAAGTCAGATTTTTTTATTTGCAATTTGCCAAAAGCAGATGTCATGTTTGAAAAAGATCTGAGTAACCAGGCTCCTCAATAAAAAAGGTGACTTTGAAGTCATTTTGAAAATACTTGCTTAAGTGCAATTTTAGAAAATTTACCATTCGCCCATAAATAATTTCTGATGGGTGTGGTTAGAGGTTTAATTATTTCAGGTGCGAGTAGTGGTGGTAGTACCTTACCAAATAAAAAAAAATTACAATAAGCCCAATAAATGTAACATCAAGTCCTTAGATCACAAAATGAACAACTTTAATATTACAACAAATCCTATGTGAATGTCCTATGTCTTTGTTTCCTTTTTTCATTACTTCATACTTTTGACTTTAATACTTTTACTTTTTGTTGCATAGTCTATCCTCAATGTCATACATGAACATTAACTATTGTCACCATGAAAATTAAACTGTAGACCTTAACAACTCAACTACAATGAGGAATTCATTCCTTAAATTGCAAATATCAATCTAGTAAAATGTACTTATATAATAAAATATGTATAACTAAATGCTTAACAATTTTCTAATAAACCATAACCATTAAAATCAATAACAACCTGATGCACTTTTCATCAAGGTGTTACCTCTTCAAAAAAAGGCAGATAATACTGTTCATGCTCTTGTACAAAAATAGACTAATGAGACTTTGGATCATTTGTGAAAAACCTTCACCAAAAAGCTATGCTTCCAAAAAGATCTTCTATCTTCTATGCTTACCTACTATGTACTTCTTAACACTCTTTGATAACTAGGCTCTTAGAAAAAGTTGGATAAAGAAGACAAACACGAACTGGTACCTCTTCTGTTGCTATGGTTACTGCATGGCTACAACCATAAATGATCAACTATTAGGGGCCAAACATTTAACATTGGAACGTGGCCAGGCCATTTACAGGATAAAACCCCTTCAAGCTGTTTTGGGGTCAAACAACCACAACAACAACATAACAATAACAAAAAATAACCCCCCCCCCCCCTCCAATAAGCATAAGGACAGTGCAATCTTGATGGTACACGGAGAATTGATTGAATTGATTAAGCCTACTTCAAAATGCAGCATTCTAGTCATACAGAGTATACTGGTTCAGTCACTCAAATGGAGTTAATTTCAACAGATTGCAGTAGTCATTGCACTTATGGCTTGCAGTGAAGTTCTGTATGGCATTGTGGGGAAGATTACCTGTACAAAACAGCATGTTCTTGGGATCTAGCTGCTTGCTGGCAATCTCTGGGTCGAAAAGGCAACTTCCACAGCCTTGTATATCCAGCAACATGACCTCTTTCTGTGACCGTTCATAAGAGAAGGTCGAGAAGTGAGCTAGACACTCTGCCCTCTTGGTCAAGGGATCAGCATTTTCGCCTTGGCATATGTTCCCATTGTTGTTGACATATTTGTGGAATGTCCCGTCTATAAACTCTTCCACCGTTACATATGCCCCGTCAATTGTTCCCATGTATATTTTCTTGTAACTCATGGTCTCCCCAAAAAGGATTTCATTATCGCTTGCTATAAGCTCGTCTTTCAGTTTAGCTGCGAAATTCCGTGCTAGGTAGTGCATTTGCACTACCCTCTTTGTACGTTCTTCCAGTGTCTGTCCAATGGCAATGATATCTTCCGAGGCCTTTTCTAGATATCTCTTCACCACCCACGTAGAGCCTTGGAATCCTCTGTCATTAGAAGTCGCTTTAAAGGCTTTCCGAAATCCCCCTGTTCCAAATGGCTGGGATTCAATACAAAACTCCTCGGCAGTTGGTCTTCCGGTCCACACCATTACCGACATGTCAAAATTGAACATCTCAACAGAGGTTGTGGTATTTGGGATGAGCTTTCCCAATCTTAGCATGTCAACGACGGACAGGCTCCGCGGAACGAACTTGCTAGGGCTTTGTGATGACACCCATTGTGGTAGCGATGCCACAGCAACCGCAGCCTTCCCATGTTCAGCATTATCACCCTCGGAAATGTTGTCGATCTTTCTCTTCCGCCGCTCACAGAGAACTTCAACCGGAGCGTCTTGGACTTTACCCTCAATGAATCGCACGTGGATTACTTTCAAGTTTGGTAACTGTTTTAGCGAGTAACAAGGTGGCTCTTGCTCCTCTGCGAGTACATCGCATGACATCGTTTCCAACATACCGAAGTGCTTCATGCAACCTCTCTTGATGTTGCTGATGTAGATTTCGTCGAAGTCTTCGAAGGACATGAACTCGCGCGCACCAACTCGAGAGTATTTCTGTGCTTTTCCCGAAACCTCTGCACTAAGGCACTGTACAACTAAGGTCCCAAGCTCTTTGGCTGCCTTACTAGATTCCTTCTTGGCTCTCTTCCCTTGGCGCAGCTCCTTCATTTTATCTTTAAACTTACTCCAAGTTTGACCTCCGGCAGCCATTCTTGAAAACAGATGCACCGAAATGCATTCTGGTCTATGGCAGCGATAGGCCACATGCCTTTTTTTTTTTTTTTTGCTTTGGCAACGACAGGCTATGGACAATTTTGCTTTTAATTTAGTTTACAATGCCTTTCTTTTCAATTATATTTTTTTAAAATTAGTTTCAATTTTTTTTGAAACATAAAATTTTGTTTTCGTTCGAAATAAAGTCATTTTAAAATCATTTCGTTTTTATTCTGTTCTTGAGATATTTTCTTTTCATTGAAAATAGTTTCTGAATTTATTTACTTTTTATTTCAAGTTAAAATATTTCTGTGATTAAACAAAAAAAAACAACAAACTAACATTAAAATAAAAATAAACCAATACACCCAAAAAAGCAAACAAAACATAAATTTACAAGAAACTTGTTAAGAAATTGGGTTTTTTGTTATGGCAGTCTTAGGCCACCATACCTCACCACCAAATATCACAAGCTACTATGAAACGTACTTTTGTTGCTGTTGTTGGCCTAACGAGGAGCCTATGAAGCTATAGAGCGTCCATCTCCGAATCATTAATAGGTTCAATGTCATTGCAAGTTAGATTTTGGGCCCTCTATAATCCGTGCGGCAAAACCTTAATAGAGAAACGAATGGATACAGGACAAATATTGTGGTTCAGACATACAAAGAAAGCACAAAGAAAGCTCACTACCATGATCAGCAAGCAGTCAAGGGCGTAGCCAGCTTTTCGACTAGTTGTAGGCCTGGCTGACTTTCATTTAACATACATATCCTGAAAATTGCACGCACTGCTAATACACACTGACCTCACCAATAGACTTAACCTTTTAAGCTCACTCCAGCCATGCATAATTTATTACAAGCGGTAGAGTGATCAAACCAAAAAGTTTTAGGCTTGGGCCTACAGATCTCAGTATGGGCTGGCTATGCCCCCTGGCAATTTTGCTAGGAATGACACTTCAGAGGCGCAGTAGCCGAAAAATGATGCACAATAACATCAAGCTGTGCCAGATGGACGCTCACAATTGGTTTTTCTATCGTTCATAGGTGGCATCATATGAGTAGCAATAAGACCAGTTGAAATCTTACTCCTCCTTTAGTTGAGTTTGCTTTGTGCATTATCCTCTTGTTATCTAAACTTTAGCATTGCATATAGATCCTTGTGGCTCTCTTTCAAGCGCCCCTGGACATTAGTAGAGACAGTTACCAAACCTCTCCAGAACTAAGGGTGCCTTCGAAGAATACACTCTTTACGTACGTAGTAAAACCTCTTGGCCTTCTTTTTATGAGTTGGTACCATTTCAACATTCCCTCGATCATCTTTTTTTAGGTAGCAGTAACGCTCTTTGCGAAGTATGGCAATGTTGTAGGGTGCTATCTGTACTCGCTTGGGGAACTAATTTGTGCAACCAATGCATGTTGTTGCGTTTGCATAGTGATGAATGAATACTACATAGAAGGGCTCGTCATTTTGGTAATATTCGGTTTACCTCATGGGTTTTGGTGCCATCATGTCGGAATAGTCTTCCTCTAACAGGACTGGTTCCTGGCTCACATTTTTTTTCCTCTTCTTTGTTTCTTTTCTTGATGTGGCTTTCCCCCAAGCTGTTTAGGGAGGTTTGCGGTGATGTTGCCCAGTTTGTTACTAGATTTCTTGTAGGTATCCATGAAGCTTTGGATCTTTTTAATTTTCTCTGCAACAACAAGAACATGAGGGCAGAAACCACCACCATCGCGAAAGGATTTGCAGCTCTTGTCACATTATATCTTTTCATTCTTGGTCTCCACCGTGTAGCTGCTATCAAACTCAAACTTTCCTGTTCTTAAAGAGATTCTCAAACGTCCAAATAGGCGCTTTCCCCTCCTCTAGGGCTTCTTGGATTTTCCCGTGGTATGGGTACCAGACGCTACGATTAATAAGGACAGAGAGGGTCATGCCAAAAGACTGCTGATGCAACTGGCAATCGCATCTCTTCGACTAGCATCTCGGGGGTCATATACATGGGTGTACCTTGGTTTACGTGATTCGTTTTGGACTGTAGA